CCCACAGCAGAGTGAGCAGAGACTGGAGGAGAGACACAGTAGAGTTGCTGGTCCAGCCTGTACCTTGAGGTCGTGCTCGTACTGCGCCGCCAGAGAGGGGTCCATCGAGACCTCAGGGGGGGCCAGAGCTGGCATGGCAACAAACTCCAGATTGGGGTCACCGATCAGCTTCCGGGCCAGCCAGAGGAAGGGCTTCTCGAAATTGTAGTTACTCTTTGCAGAGATGTCATAGTACTGAAAGAGAGAGGGGGATGTGGGGGTTCATACACCCGTTTTGAAGCCTTGGTTCAGTCCCTGATCTGAGCATTGCTCTCTAGGGTTAATACAGCACTTGGCAGCCCAGTCCTGCTACTCAGGGAGCTACGTGGCTCAGTATGGGGGTCACACTGGCTGGCTGGCTCTTCTTCGGACCGGAGTGCAGTACTTAGGACTGCAGTGACAGCTGACCCGCCCTAGACAGCTGATAAGGCCTCTAATGGTTGCACATAGAGACATGATGGGAATTAGTTCATTATTAGGTTTACTACTGAAGCATTAGGAATGCCACATTTGCCCCTGGGTGTCAATTAGAGTTTGGGATGTAAAGGGCGTCACGGTGTGGGGTTGTGCTGAAGAGGTGTGCCGAGCCCAGACTCCTCTCCCTGCAGTCTCCGGTCCACTGAGGGCTTTCACGGGCTCAGCCCTCACATGCCGCACGACTGAAAGGGGGGCCTCTGTTGAATTGCATCCCCTCCCGCTGATGTTACTCGAAAAGAAGTCAAGCCTGCGTACTCCTTCACGGTCAACACTGGAGCACTAACCACAGGACACAAGTGGAAACCGCATGGATTTGCAGTTAGAACCGGGAACTGGAGGCACTTCTTTACACTAAGGGTGGTGGGAGTGTGGATCGAGCTGCCGAAGCGGATATCCTGGTATCCTTCAGTAGCCGCTGGATGAGATTCTTGGACTGGATGGACAGTGGCCAGAGCGGACAGACTGCCCAGTCAGGGTTACCTGCAGGTTCTTCTTGCGGTGGAAAACGATGCTCTTGGCCTTGACCTTCCTGTCCTTGATGTCCACCTTATTACCGCACAGCACGATGGGGATGTTCTCACACACACGCACCAGGTCCCGGTGCCAGTTAGGGACGTTCTTATAGGTCACCCGAGAGGTCACGTCAAACATGATGATGGCACACTGAGCTGCGAGAGAGAGAGTACAGAGAGACTGGACACTACAGTACATTATAACCGCAGAGAGAAAGAGCTCTGCCCAAACATGCTTTACAGTAGCACTGAGACATATGCAAGTCATGGTGCACTGCAGTTACTAGCATCACAATCCACAGACTCACATTGTACAGAAGGGAGCATGACACCCAACAGACCCTCAATAAGACTTCAGTGTAGGTGGGTTAAAACTGGAATAAAGGCCAGAGGTGGACAGACAAGGTACCTTGGATATAGTAGCCGTCTCTGAGGCCACCGAACTTCTCCTGGCCCGCTGTGTCCCATACATTAAATTTGATGGCACCCCTGTTAGTGTGGAAGACCAGGGGGTGAACCTCAACACCCAGGGTGGCTGAGAGAAAGAGACAGACAGAGAGGGGTTAATACAGTCCAGACACACTGACTGGACACTACAGGACATTAACACTGCAC